GTCGAAAATATCACTTTTTACCAAAAATGACAAAAATATTCACCAAAATTAGAGAATTAAAGATATCATTACAAAATGAACAAATCTGAGAGAGGTCTACATGTAGTACCTATATATGTAATATCAAAGCAATTGCACTTGCGGTTTTTAACAAGAAGTCGAAAATATCACTTTTTACCAAAAATGTCAAAAATATTCACCAAAATTAGAGAATTAAAGATATCATTACAAAATGAACAAATCTGAGAGAGGTCCACATGTAGTACCTATATATGTAATATCAAAGCAATTGCACTTGTGGTTTTTAACAAGAAGTCGAAAATATCACTTTTTACCAAAAATTACAAAAATATTCACCAAAATTAGAGAATTGAAGATATCAACATGAAATGAACAAACCTAAGAGAGGTCTACCCAAGGTACATATACACCAAGTATCAAAGCATTCAGGCTTGTAGTTTTCAAGAAGAAGTCGAAAAAGTAAAACATTGACACGGACGACGACGGACGGACAATCACTCATATGATAAGCTCCGCTCGACAAAGTCGACAGCGGAGCTAATAATATAATATCCCATGTAACTCATGATAATCACATAAAATAATTGTGATATATATATATATATATAACACAGACGTCAAATAACAAGGTTTTTTATGAATATGGAGATCATGGTACTGGTTTTTAATTTAAACATGAGTTTTGGGTGTGGGTGTGTTAACCTAATATCGGCAACAATGTAATGTATATCTTGGTTAGATTTCAACACTGTATTGATATTTGTTGATGCATTCATATATAATTTGGAATATATCATATTTTCTATTTATGATACTTATAAATAAGAAAGTAGAACTGATAAGACATGATAGGAAGTGAATGTACTGTGCAGTACTGAAATTATCCCCATTCAAAAGATTTGTTCTGAATGACTACTGATCAAAAGCTTTCTTTTTTAATCTAATCATGGACTCTTAAAACGTCTGGAATTCTAAAGCAAGTAAGATTAAGCCCGAACTCTGAAATGATATTATTTTATATAATGCTGTGGCAAGGACATTTATACTATCAAGCTAGGAGAAATATACGCTAAAACTAGGGAGTGAAAAGCATCCAGACAGTACGTGGCTTTATTGACAAAGGAGAACCGTAAACATATTGTTCACACACGTATTGGAATGTAATTATTAGCAGCATTGGAGTATAGAACATAAACGCTGATGTCACGTAAATGCATGTTATAGTATGTAACAGATACATGTACAAAGCAAAAGTCTGGAAAAGAATCTCTAAATTCAGTATTTTGGGGTTCAGTGTAACGGGCGATACTGAAACTATGAATATACATAAGCCGTAATAATGAATATTTTCATGTTTGCTGTAGTGGTCACATTCCAGAAGTAAAAGCAAAAAACAAAATGCGCTGTAGAAATATGATTTATATAATTCTTGAAAAGATTATTATAATATTTCAATCTTTAATAGTAACAAGTAACATACTTGTTTCAAAATAAACTTCAGCAGGCTCTGTGTCTACAATTATTCTCAAAATAGAAAAAATTAACAAAAGACAAGAATACAAGCAATTTTTGTCTAAATTAAACTAATTACTATTAAAAGATTTTTAATCAAAATTAAGTTTAAAATGCAGCAGATAAAATTAAATAAATGGACAAAAAAAAAGCATGAATATAAAACACACAAAGATGGGGACGAACAGCTTTGTTGACTTACTGAATTAGTTTTCAATGACCACACACATACATACAGTTAATCTAATAAAAATGTTGCCTGCATTCTTCAATAACAAAGAATACTTTTAATATCTGGAAAAAGATTTCAAGGGTCTATATGCACAGTGCAAGAAGAAATAACGATAATTACATACATGAAGGGAAGAAACTGGCAATATTAAAGTTATTAGACTCACATTCACTAAAATCAGGACAATTACTTTTATTATTACTCATATGCAACTGGGAATATAATGTTGATGTATCACATAATTTCAAATAACAGCAGATGTAATTGCAGATGCAACATGTACGTTTGAATAATATTGACAAGGCAGTAAAAAGATTTCAGCAATGTTCAATTTTACTATCAGTTTACCATAATTCAGTAATCAAGAAACTAAACAAGCCGGCAGTAAAAATCAACATTGCTTCTGACTCAACTACTTTTTTGTAAAAATAAAGTTGAGAAAAAATACACACAATTTTGTTTAAACCTTTTCTGTCTAAATTGGCATACAATTATTTTTTTGGCACTTTTCTTTACACTCAATTTTTAAATGAGACAGAAATGATATAATTTTGTATTGTGACTGACAGAAGCAAACATATTTTACAGAATACTATACTCCATGAAATATGAAGAAAAGTAAGAAAGTTGACATCATAAAGCATAAAAATTCTGGTGATACGCACAAATTAAAGCATAATTTAATTTAGATTTATCACATTCGAGCAAGGAGCAAAGACAGACAAACAGACATTTGAATTTTCAGAATCAGATAACATGAAAAGATTTATTCATTTTAGCGAAATCAGTTAAATTTTAAACCTATAAATAATTATAATTTTGTTATTTCTTTACATAAAATTAATTAAATACAAAATATATGAAATGACTACTTTAGCTTTAATCCAACCTTATTAAACAACTGAATAAGAAAACAATGCAATAAAATATAAAGTAATTAATACTTAGGACTGAAAAGGATTTGAATGAACCTACTTGATGAGACTGTGATAATTCCGGATTTCCAATCTTCCAGTTGAATTAATGAGGCTTATTTGTGTTGTAATAACAAAAAGCATCAATTGGAGTCCAGACGATAAGACAGGAAGGCTGCCAAGTAAAACAGTATGCTTGTATTGTGCATGGCTCGTCTCTACTACTCAGCAGTACTTGACAACGATCCACACTCAACTCATTAACATCTCAAAGTAGATGCAACTCTTTCAGCCAATCACAGCAGAGTTAACTGAATACATTAAACTTGTTAGCAAATCAAACTAAGTCAAACTAAGGAATGATGAAAGCAGATAGTGCAAGGAATTAATGTATATTTTAATATCAGCTTTCATAATAAGTAATGTAAAAATATTAAATAAACAGTGACACTCACCATTTTAGGAATTTTACATAGTTATTTCTTTGCCTAGATCTTAGATCTCTTGTTTGCCACTGTTGAAATCTGGTCACTGAAATTTGCTTGATCTGTTTGGCCGACTCAGTGCCTTGCGATGATATCTTTCTGAGCAAACCAACTACTTCCAGTTCATTTCTTGGCATAAATAATGTTCTGATTTGAGCAGCTTGATTCAAATGTTTTACACAATCAAGAATTGATAGTGATGAACAAGATCTATCATTAAATAAATAGAGTATAATGCAAGAATCATTCCGTGTTATGATCCAAGGGCTTTAGTTTCCAAGCAGCTTATTTTGTTTTCACAAGTTTTTTTTTTCCCCCCAACTCGCATTCCTGATCGTCACGATTCTTAATACTGTATGTGCTTTTTTGAAAACACTATATTCAAAAACACTGCAATGTTAGTGTACTTCAAATACCCCTAAAATAAACATTTTCAGCAGACACATGTATTTATACATTATACATTAGGATATTTCTGACAACTGCCACTAGCGTTTTATTTCATAGTCAGGATTACACATGTATTCAAAGTCTGCTAAATAAGCCAATGGCTGTATTAAATTCATAAGCAACTGTTGTGAATTGCATTGCATGACACATCTCAACTATTAAAGAATCATTACTGCTGTTCATCAAACTGGTACAACTCCTGATGATCAAAAATGATAATAAAACAAACTTACTGAACAATGGACTGTTGTGATGAATCAAAACCAGATAGAATTCTTTGTTTTAATTCGCCGCGTACAGAAATACTCTCCAAGGAACATGATGATGATGTGACATCCAAAGAAATTTGGGGTAGCTGATCCCAGTCACTCAATTCCTGACACAACTTTTGCAACGATCGTTTACAGTATGCTACCGGATGATAAAAGGATACGTAATTCTCTCCAACTGAGTGAAGTTTTTGTAACAGAGGCTTCCCAATCAAACAGTTCTCAGTGGAATATTTCAAAGCGAATAAAAGAGAGACAGATAGTACATATGTGGCTATATACTGTGGCATAGATAACACATCTAATTCTCCATGACTCATGTGGTCTCGAATGCGAGGTCCTTCCATGTACGTCAGCATATCAAGTAATAATTCCTGTAGAGACAATATCACATCAATAACGCACATTTTTTTTTCATAAATGCATTAAGCTATTAAATTTAACTTTTTTATTAGAAATAAATAATATATTATGTAGTCTCCATAGATGTTGTTATTAATATTCAAATAATATATGATATTGCTGCCCAAGCCTGGAGACATAGTGGGCAGTAACTAATTAAATATCTTTTACATAGTTTTACACATTTTCTACAATTCGGCCCTATTAGCAATGAAGTGTTTTTGTGAAGACAACATGACACGACTTATAATAGATGTAATGATATTGTTGATTTAGGGCAACAAAATCGCCAGAAAAGTGATCAACTAGGTGCATTAGTTAGTTGTTCTCAAGAATATTAATGACAAGCAGTACATATGTGCTCAGCTGCCCCCACAGGAAGCACTCATAGAACACTCATGATTTAGTACATAGAAACAAGCACGAGTTGCTCATTTGTGATTTGTTTGCTAAAAGTTCACTTCACATAAATTTTGTCTTGATATCGTAACATTCCAGTTTGAAAATATTTTCTCTCAACAATTCGCAAAATACTGTTGATTAGCATTGTGAAAATACAACCAACGTATCAGCATACTTAACTGTACAGATAAAAATATGAACTTAGTTTATATTAAGTTTTATTTTATTATAAATTGCTAACATAAAAATATGTATTAACAAGATCTACTCCAGACATTTCTACGAACATCTTTTCACAGAAGGAAGTTCTTTGATTGGTCTCTAGGGGGCGCTTACATACTAATTTGGTCTTACCATAAGAGAGTCTCCTATTTGTGAAACCAATGCATTTTCTTCACCATTAGGTAATATAGGATTAAGCATCTGAAAATAACATCATGCTTAACAATCAAGAAAAAAAAAACATTTGTCACCTTCAACAAACTGAATTGTTCCCATGTATATTTTTTCTAAAATTTTCATCAAGACCAGGTACTGAGAAATTGTGACCATTTGATGAAATATATGATGAAATTATAGTAAAGCACATACAAATGTGCAAAATTTTGCACCAAAAATTTGCTGGAAGAAATTATGGCAAGCAAAGTGTTAAAGGGACAACAGATGAGGTACAGAACAAGACCATTAACTCAACCATTATCAGGGTTACATTCATTTTGCTTTGTAGGTCTGTGGGTCCTCCCAGAATAGTCTGGAATTGATGCCCAGATTATTCTTCTGTGGTCAGTGGGTGACAGTGATGTTGACTGACTGATAAGCATAGAAAGCTGCTAATCTGAATTACATGTTAGTTTTCTGAATAATGAATGAGAGTTTTACATTTTCCCCACATGCAATGTCAACTGGTAGTTGTGACGAAAAGAAGACCATTGCATCCTTGGTGATGCTGGAATAAATTTACACGAGTAACAAGCAAAATCACAGGCAACAATTTCAAACTATTGTAGAGAGAACCCACAGACCTATGAAACAATAGGAAGGTACATGTAACAAGGAAAACCATATACGATGTCAATGATTACATTTTTTCTATCCAAAAGTTATTCTGTATCCCTGTGACAACATTCATAAACATTTGTCTGGAGACAATCTTTAATCAGCTGTTTCATAGCAGAATATACACAAGTGTAAAAAATACATTTATATGTCTTATTTTAATAGTATTGGATTACATTTTTAATAATATGGGATATAAGTTTGAAAGTGAAAATAGTAAATAATCAAACAGAGAATTTACCTCATCAAATGTCGTATACAGGACAGATGACTGCAAAACAAAAATGACAGCTGTGAGAAAAATATACCAATGTCCATTTTTGGAAATGATTCTTTCTTATCAGACAAAGTCTGTAATATATCTCCGTACAACTCCTATGTACCTAGCGTTGAAGTAAAACAATTTCCAGGAAGAGACTACTTGAAGAAAGAATCTCTAAAATCAAGAATTGTTTGATCTGTAGATCAGACGACAAACATTGCATTTGAAATGGTTTAATTACTGTACAAAGCATGGCAAAATGGCATCAGTAGATTACATTGGAAAAAGACAAAGCACAAGGAATCAGTGAAATTAAAGGAGTAACTCTGTTTTATTTCATCCATTTGCAACAAATCATTCCATTGTGTCACAACCGAACTAATTTTTTTTTTTATTTCACTGTGACAAGGCATGATTATCATTTCTCATAGTCACCATAGAGGGCACTTAACAATTTTACAGTACACATGCACACCTGCAAGACCCACCATGCTGCAATGAGCAGGAACTTTATGTATTTTAAGATGGGTTATATCGCATTATTTAAATAAATTCTAATTAATATTATATAAGTTTGATGAAAAATGCTTTAACATTATCTTTTTTATGGAAATAGTTGAAACAAAAAAACATGATAATTTGTTTGTTCTTATTTATCTCAATTGTAATGAAGCGAATAATTTAATAACTTTATGAAAGAAGGACTAAAAGCAATTTCAATTATTACTTACTTCTGCAGTCAACATTCTTTGTGGACAATTATTGAAATTACAAAATACGCCTCTCAGACCATTTTCCAATTGGGGCAGAAGTAATACACAACAATAACCATATCTGAAGAAAAAAAAAGAGCATGAGATCTAGAACTTTATTAAACTTTCGTTACAATTGTCACTTTTTGTCAGGAAATCAACTTTAACTCTGGCCAAGAATTTATTTTGTATACCAAGCCAGCAATATCATCAACTGATTGGCTGTCAGTAAAACTGTGTTGCAAGCAATTTAGTCTCCACATCTGATATGATCTACTGGCTTAATTCTTGAATGCAACATTGCTTGCAATGCAGCTTTCCTGTCAGCCAATAAGCTGACAATATAGCTAGGTGTGTAAAACATATTCACCAACACAGTAATACGTCCCATTTGGCAAGTAAGTTTTCTCTCATCACACTAATAGATGGAACACCAAATCAGCAATATTGCCAGCTATAATTGACTAATGATTATAAAGCATTAGATTTGATTGCGAGAACGTTTTGGGTCAAAACATTCTGAAGAGGAGACAATTGGTAATTGTGAAGTGATATTTTTATAATAAGTTTAGTTGAAAAAATATTTTAAATACCACACACTTTTCTTCTTTGTGGTTCTTTGTTAAATGTTCTCAGGTCTGGAGATGTGTTCTCAGGTCTGGAGATATGTTCTCAGGTCTGGAGATGTGCTCTCTATTACTTATTTGACAATTATGTGATATTTAGCCTCAGGAACATTTTGTGAACACAGATACGTATCTTTCAAGTATCAGACAACATGATTTAATTGTCTCATTCATTTTTGGAACTGATCTGAAAACTGCAACTCTGAGAACACATTTTCTCTCAAGGTCTAAATATTAGTTAATTTTCTCTCAGAAACTGGAACATTAAACCACAAGAATAGGATAAGAACTGATCAAGCTTGTGCCTAATTTCACATACACGTGCAAAATATTAGAATACCGGTAAATAACATTTTGCTCATTTTTTTTTATCACTTTTAACTAAATGACCATAATTATCTATTCCTACAAGCCTAGATAAAAATATTCAAAAATTATATGGGTTTAATTTTTGAATGGTAAACAATTGACTTTAATACGTGCTAAAAGGTGAAGTTTAATAAAACAAACAAGAATATACTTTCCATTTATGAAATTATATATATAAATGGACTGCCAACATTTTGGTTCAAAATTGTTGAAAAAATATTAAACAATTAAAAAGATTAGTTTCTGATCCTGAAATTTTCAATAACTTTGCAATGATTGAATTTTATTTTTGCTAATTATGGTAATTTAGATTACAATTGAATATGAAGTGTTCTACAGTAGATCAGTTTTATATCGTTCACATAAGAGCAATAACAAGGGGAATACTGATGGCATGCATTGCATTATAAGAATAAACGAGACACTCACTTTCCAGAGTAATAATGCTGAAGAGCAGTAAACCAGTACTGTTGCATTGTGGGGAGAATAAATCTTGATGTGGTGATGAGATTGTGGATATCTTTTTCATCTGTCTGGACAATTTCTAGATGCAAGAAAATTTAATAGAGTTTTTCATAGGATACTGAACCCAGAGTAAATGCAATGCCTTATTTTGGGGGAGGATACATATCTTATTAAAATATACTACAGAATCAAACAATTTGTATAACCTTTGAACTCTGACAAACAGATGCCATACAATTTATTATGAATGATAAGAACATGATTTTTCTCATAAAAACCTATTTTTTTTTATGGATATAATATTTATTAATTCCTGTGGGCATGGATCTTTTTTGAATACTAAAAAGGTACTTCAGTACTAAGGTACTATGAATCATAGAAGATAGTAGAGGAATATGTCGGAAATAACAAATATATAATGTGTATAGTACAGATGTCTCTTTAAATACCTGGAAATACATCTTCACAATCTGTAAAATGGTGTAGTTGGAAATAAGATCGATGAGTGATTGTCTCTTTTATCTGTAGTACTTGACTAAGACTAGCTATCAAGACTAATAGAAAACTTGCATACCTGCATTAGAAAAATACACAATGGTTAAATTTTTCTACACTTTTTCTTATATTCTTCAATATTTCTGGAAATGAACCCTAACTATGGAGCCAACAGACAAAATTTGAGTCTATTTTCATTTTTTTTCCCAAAAAATTTCGGTATTTTTGTCTTAATCTTCTGAAGAAAAGTGTAGACTGAAATCATGATTATTTTGAGAATTTGTGAAATGGTTAAAGATTTACATAGATGATTATAAACAACAATATTAATCCACTCCTACAAGTAATATTCAATATTGCAGGCCAAATACAAACACATATATTTCAAAATGAAACTGAACTTTGAACAAAAACATGTCTCAAATGTCACTTTATAAGCGTGTGCTCTGATCAGTTTTGTAATTGTGTAACCAAACTGTATACATGAAAAAACAGGGGGGAGTTGTATGACACGATTGGTTGAAATAATCATCTCTTTTGCATAAATTAATATTCATGAGCAATAAAAAACTCGTCTTTTCAGTAAAATTGTGCCAAAATGCTTTCCGATAGCATACATGTTAGTTCTAAATTGACTGATACTATCGTTACGTGCTGAAAAAATAATCGGAAAAATAATGTAAAAGTATTTTTTGAGACACGTTTTCGATCAGACTGCAGCTAACTTTTGAAAGTAAGCACAGGTTTTCTCATTACCATGATCTTAGCAAGTTACAAAATTCATGAAGAATGCAGAGGCACA